TGTAAGTCACAGTTTGAGTTGCGCTTAAGTCTAACCTAAAATGAAGGGCAGAAAGAAAATAAGACAGATCGTTACCTAAATAAAATTTAAATCAAAGTTGAAGCTTATCTGGGATCATAGTTCGAACTGCTTCACTACAAATATATTCAAAGATTTTGCAACTGTTCTTTTACAAGTACCCAAAAGATGAGTATAGCAACTTGTCTAACCCTCGATCTCACGAAAATTGCAACTCATTTCTTGGCGAAGACCGGATTCCATCTACCTATACATTTTCTCACTCATTTATCTTTTTTATCTCTTCTCAGGTAGAATTTCTTAGTGAAGCAGATAAGATGAAGCTGTTATCTCATCCCAATCTCGTTAAACTCCTTGGGGTATGCACCACAGGCGAACCAGTATATATTATTATGGAACTTATGATTCACGGTACGAATCTACCTAAACCATCATGATTTTGACGTGTGTTTATTATATGGCTGTGTCTCACAAGGACTGGGGACTGCCAAATTCATGAATTTGATTGGCTGTAATCGATATTGACCGCGGTCTAGATTTTCCCATCTAGACGGGCATCTAGACCGGTAGTGTTTTGCAGTGAAAAAGTTGCAAACTAAAATACAAGGATATTGACAATTTTAGTTTCTTCTATCTATCTTCTAAAAATATTACTGGAAGTGTCAAAAAACCTGATGAGAAAAAAAGTAAAGACAACGAGCAAACTGCAAACTTTGGCAGTTTTAAGTTCAGCTCATCGCCGTTCTTAATCATAATGTCAGCTAGTTCAAACCAGTTACATTACACGAATTAAATTTTTCTTGTTTGCCATATAATAAACAGCTTAGTCGGTCTGTAAGGGAGAATCTTGACCTCGGTCGTGGGTACAGACCTCACTACGTTCGGTCTATACTCACGACGTCGGTCAAGATTCTCCCATACAGACCTGCTCTTCGGTTAACAAGAGCTAAATCTTAACGTTCTGTTGGTTCAAGTCCCCTTGGGCGTACCCCTACAGTAAACTGTACACGGGGTGCGGAGTCCGCCCGAAAGGGGTACGTATTTTAGGCTGGAGGTACGTATATGAAAGAGTAGGTATTTGAAAGGCGTTTCAAATGTCTCGAACAGACGCAACTAACGGCTGACGAATCCCAGCATATTAGGGTGACGCCGTTCGTCCAAGGGTGTCAAAAATTAATGCAATGTGTGCGTCTGCAGACGGGTTAGGCCACCCCACCTCCACAGGTGTGTAATAGAGTTACCATTTTCTATCGGAGGTACATAACAAGGTTACCTTTTCTGTCAAAAATGGAATCTACAACAGCAAGGGTTTGGATCTCGGGGCAGAACCTCCTCGTAGAAAACTTTGTTGAATAGCCCCGGGGTTCAGACTCGCACTTTTTGTTTTTCCAGGTGACTTGAAGAGCTTTCTCCTAGCACGACGTCGCTTAGTGGATCAGCAGGGGTCTCCAGAGGTAAGCTTAAGCCTAAAATGAAGGACAAAAAGGAAATATAATAATTTCCCATTAAATTCGAACTTGAAGCTTACCTTTGATACCCTATTGAGGCTTGGAAGCACCCTAGCACAAACCCATTCAGAAGTACCTGGATATATATCTCGGCAACTGTCTTTTGCTTTGGTCGTGTAATCGTCAAATACTGTAATTGCATGGTAAAAAACTGCATGCATCCACCAATGGTAATGTGAGGTAAGGTAAGGTAAGACGAAACGCGGTATGCTATTGTGTTTTTAAGCAATCAGGAACAAAACCCACACCAAGCGCGACTTGGTTTTACCGACTGCATTTAGAGTTCTGATTGGTTCACTCGTCCGATAGCTGCGTTTGTCATTGGCCACAATTTTTTTGGTTTAGTTTCATCAGAACCTTTAATCACTTAAAGTTATTAACACACACTTCCGTACTGACATGCGCCTTAACCTCATTTTCGTAGGCAGATGATGTCACACCTCGAAGGCTGACGAGTATGGCGCTGGACATAGCTCGCGGGCTTCAGTACATTACAGATATGAAATTTGTTCACAGGTGAGATGTTTTTTACTTGCTAGGCTAAGACACGTTAAAACGGGTTAAGAGCGATAAAGACGACTTTAGATGACTTGTTTTCCTCGTTTTCTCGCTCGCTGGCCACTCGTTTCTTCCAGCTTCAACCACTTCGCAGTTTACGAAGATCAGGCGTTTCTTTATACAAAGAATTCAAGTCATTATCAGTGCTTATGTTTAATCGGCCGTTTTTCTTGCATTTCTCTTTGCCTAAGTACCCTAGGAAAAATGATGACGCCTTTCCTACCATGTGGAGACGCGGTGGCCTCATGGTTAGTGCGCTCGTCTCCGGATCGAGCGGTCCGGGTTCGAGGCCGGGAACATTGTGTTGTGTTCTTGGGCAAGACACTTTACTCTCAGAGCCTCTCCCCACCCAGGTGTATAAAGGGGTACTGGTGAATTTAGGGGTGACCCTGGGATGGACTAGCATTCCATCCAGGGAGAAGTAGAAATATTCCTTATCGCTTCATGCTCCGCCCTGACGGGCCACTTGGCTCGTATGCAGACTTTACCTTGCTTTTCCACCATGCATTGTTTTTCAGGGATCTCGCTTTACGAAACTGCATGGTGGGCTTTGGAAACGCAATCAAGATTGGAGATTTTGGACTGGCACGGACTCTACAACAAAATGATTACTACAGGTTTCAACGAAAAGGTTAGGAGTTACTCTTATAGATTGGTCTGACTTCAAGAAAACCAAAATAAAATAAAAGGAGCTTCCAACGTTACTAGCTATATGTGAATTGGTACCTCAAACAATGAAATACCCCAATGCACTCGCATACAACGTCAACGGAACACCATGTGGCTACAACAGCATTGTACTGTACTCTCTAATACACGTGACGGTCCGAATCATACGTTAGAATCACACATCCTTGTTTTCAGTTTCGTCAGCCAGTGATTAAAAGCCACGGGCCATTCACTGACCGAGCAATTTGGAGACTAGACAAAGTCGAGACTGTGTACGCCTGATAACAGGCTCAGGAGTATTCTGATTAGCTAAAATACACAAGAATTGTAAGAGAATGGTTGTCCATACAGTTATGCAACTTAACTATGACTTACACGCTACTGAATCTTTCCCATTCCTCTGCTTATCAGCAATGTTGCCCGTTAGATGGATGTCACCAGAGTCCATTAGAGAGGGCTTATTCACTCCGTGTACTGACGTTTGGTCGTATGGCGTCACACTCTGGGAGCTGTCTACGATCGGAGGCTTTCCTTATCAAGGAATGTCTAATGCCCAGATCCTGGAGAGGGTTGAGCAGGGCTGTACGTTAGAAATACCGCATCAGTCGAGCTTGGAAATGTAAGTGGGTCGTGTTATTTGTGAGTTGTTATGGTATTCCTTGATGAAAAACGTTGACAGGATCCTTAAACATGGATCTTTCAAGATCTGTATTTGCATCTTTTGTGGATATTGATGAGGATAATACAAATCGTCATCATTTCGTCAAAGATCTTGCAGGATCTTTCAAAGATCTTTCAAGTCCCTGCTATGTCCCTGCAAAGATCCTTGAGGTCCTGACAAGAGATCCTTCAGTTCTTGCATGGATCCTTCAGGTCCCTGCAAGGATCTTTTAGGTTATTTCAGGGATACTTCAGTTCCTTAATTACAAAGATCTTTCAGTTCCCTGAAGGGATCCTTCATTTTCCATAACAGTGTAATCTCTCGTTACAGTAAAAACTGTCGAATCCTGAGTGCTATTCTGTGATGTTCAGTCTGCTAGAAGTTTATACAGTTCATCAAACTTGATTTGAGACATAAAGCCAACAAGTCAAAACAACCTCTCCGGTGAAATTTTGACTATTTTGGTAGTTATATACATATATTTTGTTGTTTAGCTGAATTTCTTCCCTTCTACACTTTTGGCATCTTTTGTTCTGTTTCAAGATAATAAAGCAATTTTATAGCACGCTTTCGGCCATACACCACGGCACATCAGCCGAGACACTGACCCTTTATTAAATATCATTAAGGGATGGGTAGGGTTGAAGTTCAAATTCTCTATTCCCTCCCATGGACTTTCAAAAATAGTAAAGACGATGTTTATTTGACATGGTTGCAGAAAGACAGATCGGCCAACATATGGTATAAATATTCCCTATACTCAAAAGTAACGACCGCCGCGAGTTGCGATAGATAAAAAAGCTGCCAAATCCAAAAGGAACGAAAGTTGCAACTTCAAGAAATTTACCCTTAGGATTTAAACAATTGTGTTGTTTTATTTTGTTTTGTTTTGTTTTTCATAGGGCCTCTTTACTTCGGAAGTGTTGGCATCAAAACCCAGCTCTGAGACCGAAACCCTCAGAGATTGTTAAAACACTGATTGAAAACCCAGAGCTTGTGCGCGCATGCGTTGATGTGCCTGGCACCACTCTCCTGGACAACAGCTTGGAGAATTTCGACTTCAGAAACACTCCAGCGCATGCGCGTGGAGGCACGGAGAGCCCGCAGCCAAGCCATTCGACGAGTCCTGAGCACGTGAGTAGCACCTTGGCTCTAACAGCCAAAGAACGTGAAGACCGCGTGATCAGAAAACATAGCGTCAAGCCGAGAGCAGAGAGGACAAAACGACATCCTGCTTCGCTATGGAGGAAATCGTCGGTGTATTTTTAAAGAAGTATTTTTTTAATTGGAATTTCGTTTGCTTGGAGGAAAATATATGAAAGTAAACACATTCGCTAAATTATTTTTCGTAGATAAGTCTGACAGTCGATGACAAATGGACATAATTTGATGGGGATTTAATACAAAATTAACTGCACTTTATTTAGTTGAGAGTAATTACCAGTAATGAAGTTAAAGGTTTGAATGGATGTGCCTGAAGAACGCTATCAAGATCATAATATGACGAAACTTTTCAAACATTTTGCATTTTTGTGTAAAATATCCATTCATAGGGAAGTATTGAATGATGATTTAAATAGATATCTTTTAGACAAGTTTTAAACGTTCCTGTTAAGATACAATCTCAACTTACGTAAACCGGAAGTCTTTCATGAAGACCGGAAGTAGTTGCACAGGGAGCCCTCACATTTGTTTAGAATATGAATAAAAGATCAACCTACCTTTATCGCGCGTGTTGTGTTTGTGGCGGAGCCGTTTTGAATTTTAATTACGCGCGCGGTCTGCTAGTGCGAGGTCTGGAACCGACGCCCGCTCGGAGCTCTAAGAAAGTGACAAGGGATAAAACTGATCATGACGTTCCGAATTTCGCATTAGTTCGAGGGAAATTTACTTCGTAATTTGCCGAAAATTACTCTGTGGGAAGAAGAAGAAGCATTAAGCTTAATATGTCTAAGCTCATTTAGCCCAAACATCCAGAAGGTCTGCGATATTTTGTGGCGTTGTTTTAAACTACCCGCTTTCGCACTGTCTCTGCCACTTGGGGGCCACGGAAGTCAGAAAGGCGAAAAGTTAGTTGATTGACAGAATCGAAGCGGAAGTGATAGTGTCGCTTGTTCTGATTGGTGAGTATTAATTCCCGAAGTTTGATGATTTTATTCCGGGAAATAGAATGCTGCCACAAGGCCGAAAGAGTTCTCATTTCGTTTATGTTTGTTCCGCTACGCACGAAGCGAAGGCGGGGACGCGACTGAGGGATCGGTGCTGTTAACTACTCCGGTTGGCAAAAGTTTTATTGCTTGAACACACAC